TCATTAAATTCACTTCATATTTTGGTTTGTGCTTGTGTTTGTATGATTTGCTGCTATTAAGATTCTGGTTTATTGAAAGATATCATCTGTTAGAGAGTTCCTTTCCTGACAGCTTTCTTCATGCTTATCATTCAAATTGAAGAGTTTTCCCCGACAGTAAATTTTGCATATTAAGAGAATCCTTAATTAAAAAAACCCTTTTTCTTGATCTAAATTTCCCTTATTTAACTACTTAATAACAAGTCCAAGGCTCTGGACGTTGATTGTTTATCAAAAGCCTAAAGCAGTCTCCTAATTCTGGAACCCGCTGTGAACTAAGCAAAAGCAGAACAGACTATATTTAAAGCCTTATACTGCAGAGTATATATAATATATATGCCATTAAGTGATTCTAAATTTTTTATATTATAGAAAAAGAAATCTTCTTTACCAGACTTGAAATTTCTTACATTTTAAAGTTACAAAAGAGCGATGTTTAGTGAAGAAAGATTGTATTTTTACACCCAACTAAAAAATGCTAATTTATTTTAATGAGAGTGTCAGATATAGAGCAGCTGGGTAATAGAAATTACAGAATTATTCTCACTAAAGAGCACCTAGAACATGAAGGAAATATCATTCTATTCTTATAATCACACTAACCTATCGTTTCCTATGTGTTTATTGTGTTCTTCATAGTTGTTTTCGTAGGTAAGTATATTTTTTGTTGTACTGTAGCATTTATTGTACAGGTCTTTTTTTTATGTACAGTGATATAGTTGTTGTATTTCATCACAACACAGCTGTACTCTTAACTCACTTGCAGTGTGATTCTTTATTTTTACAACATAGACTTCTAAAATTTAACTTCAAACTTATAAAACACTAAAAACATTTTTTTTCCCTGTCCACATTTCTAGTTCATTTTGTTTTTCTTGACTAAGACAGTTTTAAAGTCATTGATGTCCCTACTTAACTAAAACAATATAACTTTCGATGTTTCAATGATTTTTGTCTTTTCCTATGATAAAAAGGTCTCGATTGTCTTTAACTAATATACTCTAGGCTTTTTTTAAATTTATTGCTTGTAACATTCAAAGGATTCTCTAATTCTTCCTCATATTCTCAATTGTGTTGCCATATTTATGTATTGCTGTAATCTTATTTAATAATTCAATAGCGCCTTTATCATATTCATGTTTTCTTTGAAGTTAAACTTGTGCTTGTGTGGAATAAAGAAAAGACCTAAAAAAACAACAGGTATAAAGCTAGCTCACATTAAGTCTTTCCAAGATTTTCAAAAATGTCAACTTTCAGTAATTAAGACTAAAAACTAATTGACTCGATAAATTCCAAGATTTGTAGACTTCAATTAACTGAAAATTTTGAAGTTTATTTTAATTAGTAAGGTTTTTTCTTTCTTGCTTTCTTTGCTTATATTTGTTGGTTGAAATTTTGTTATTCAAAATTTTTTGACTTTTTAAAGGTTATGGTCACTTTGATTTTTATAAAAAATGTTTTTGATTGGATTTTTTGCAATTGTCTTTTCCTGCAAAGAGACATGTCAGATGTACAAGTTGTATTTTTAAAAGCTAACAGCTGTCTTCTACCATCAGCCAATCAATTCCCTAGTTCATCACCATAGCAACCAAACAGGAGATCTTTCTTTTGTATTTATGCAAATTCCGAGGAGCATGTGTTTGCTTGAAGTGATCAGAAATTTGAATATAAGATTATTTTCATTCTCTTTCCTTTGCCCTTGGGATATGTTTTTCCACATTTTCTTGATGAAATAATAACAAACAAAAATCTAATATAATCTTATCTTTAATGCTTTTGTAGCTTTCCACTCCTACGAACTAACAGAACATTGTTGGGTGGGCTCGTCTTCGAATACAACCCACCCTCACTTTTTCCACTTCCACATTTCCTGTAGGTGTTGTAACTTCCAATTTCTTTGCAAAGAATTTTATCCAGAAATATGAAATAAAATAACAGTTAGTATTCTCTGCATGAAGTCATTTCCACACAACCTATTGATCCTCTAGTATTTAGTGTATAATTCTCCCAGTTTCATTGGTAGTTGTTGTTTTATTGGTTCACTTTTTTATGTTATTTATTAGTAAGGTGTTTTTTTTATTATAAGACAAAGTTTTGTTGTTTGAGTGAGTGAGTCAGTTTCCCTTAGGTGACTTTCAGCAGGTGTTATTACCCATCCACACCAACACATACTATTTACCATAGATGGATCTCATTACGCTCTTGTCGTGCCTGTCATGTTTAAATTCTCTCTTTCATCCGTTCTAAAAAAAATGTAAGTAATGGCGGTTATTTTGTAAACACATGAATTCAGTAGTGCTGGTATATCTTTACATACATATGTATACATAATTCATCTTTTGTTGCTTGTACAGAAGTCATGCATGCCTTCCTGCATGTAATATATATATAAGTAACAGTGGTTACTGTGTAAATACATGTATTTAGTAGTGATGGTATATCTTTACGTAGATATTGACACATAATTCCTCTTTGCTGTTTATACAGAAGTCATGTGCCAATCATCATAATCTACTAGTATGCTATATACCTGATATATTTTATTTTTATTTATAAAAACAATGAATACACACTATATTTACCTGATACGTCGACACACACACACACACAAAATATTTACTAACAGCTTGAAAGTAATTTTTGAAGTATAACAAGAGATGCATAAAAATATCTTTAGTATAACATTTCTAATTATTTCAAAATACCAATTTTTTGTCAAGCAATTTGTCTTCATAAAGCAGTTAAGAAATCACTTCATGAAGAACTAAATTCAAATTACTGCTGTGTTCCTTTTTACAGATTCTCTTTATCAGGGTTAGCCTCATATTTTTGTCAAGATCGCAAAACATCGCAGTCTTTGGAAATATTCAAGAGAAAACTAAAAACATTTTTGTTCAATTTGTAACTTTAATCTATTTTTTTCACTTGACATTTCGTCGTCGTATTTGTAAAGCGCATTGAGAGTCTATAATGCGCTATATAAGAACATATTTATTATTATTATTAAGATATTCACAAATACACCAACGATAAAGTAAAGAATTCCGACAACCTCGACAATACAGACACTTTAAAATTCCACAGACCTTTAATGGAACATGAATATTCTGCACAAATTTGAGGCTAACCCTGAGCAACAGAGAAATAGAATATTCATTTAATATTTCTTTAAACACATGCTTTAAATTAACATCCTTTTTATATCATGTTTACTCTAAAAAACACATCTCCTCTTGTGATCCAATATTGTATTCCTGTTATATATTGTAATGCCTTTGCCTTTTGATGAGATAAGACACGAAATGTTATCRTTAAAGATTTAGCCTTTTTGGAAACTTAATACTACTCAATATATCAACTTACGCATGAGCAGATGTATACTCTTTAATTATTTCTTTATATTTACATCGATTTTGCATCCTGTTGCAAGTCGTACATTAGTTATAGACAGGGTGAATACTATAATATTGCATTGTTTAAGTCCAGTAGTGTTTGCGTGCTTCTTGCATAGTGAATAAAAATTACTTCACTCCGATGTAAAGGATGTTTTGTTCATTTCTGATGGCAACACACTCAACTTCGTTAAGCCATTTGTTTAAATTTCTGAAGAATATTTGAATATTGATTCTGCGTTTTGTTCATTTTTTATATATTATTGGCCAATAAGCTATATGTTGTAAGAGGTTTTTTAAATTAATATTGTTTATGTATTTAAAAAAAATATAGTATTCCTAACATTAATCTTATTAAGAATAATGTTACCAATAAATGCCTAACATATAAAAATGTAAAACTGGTAAACCTATCTAACCCTAAAATGATGTTAATTCATTACTAACTCTAAATATGTTAATTTGTTATAAATATTCAATGTATAATATTATAATTTGTTTATGATGCTAAATAAAGTTTGTGTATATGCAACTCAAAAAGATACATATATCTAACAATAATGATAGCATGGATGTTTATCTCATACATGGTATGCCTTGTGAATTACTCTAGGGTATACACCCTTACCTACAATGATCTTTGTCTAGTCACACAGTCATTTTCCTTGTGTCGATCATAACATTAACAGTTCTGTATACATACACCTCACCCTCCATCTCCTTAACCAGCAATATATACGGTATTGTCTGTACCCTACGTAGGGACATATTATCATCTAGCCTGCACTCCCTTTGTTACCTGTAGACTGAAAGTTTTGTTAACAACCCCCCATCCCAATCGCCCCTCCCCCCACCCCCTCAGCACCATGATTTCTTTCTAAAAACGCATTTGTTTAGTAGTGCCCTCCAGTCACACGAAGGGGGAATATCTAGTTGCATAGTTTTCAGCCCTTCCCTTTACCATAGTCTTTGTGGTCTACCTTAGGACACCTCTGTCTGGATAGGGTGGGGAAGGTCGGTGGGGAACCTTGTCTCCAGCGATCACATCTACACTGTAGTCTGTTTTCTTCATCATTATTTTGCAAATGTTTGGGTGTCCATGTTGCAAAGTTCTTTTTATGTCCTCTCCTCTCCTCGTGGGGATTTTTTTCTGGTAGCACAAGAGTTTTAACCCTCCATGGTGACTGTCAAGATTGTGTGCACCCATCGAAACCCCTCTGTCTTTTGACCAAACCTTTTGACGTGCTGGTATTATGTGAACTCTTGCTTCACAGATCACAAGACAACTCATAGCCACTTTCCACTCTGTAAAAATAATGTTTAAATTAAACGATATTATTAGGTTATTAGTAATGAGTAAATAACTGCGAACTTATTAAACCATCTAAAATTCATCCCCCAATGTAGCACTATTTCTAAATGCTTCAATTTAATTTTGAAAACTGTACAAGACCATTGTTGTCTGTCTAAAACTAAAACCATAAATTTTTAATCACCTGAATGTTTAAGGTCTAAACAATAAAAACTTAATTCTATATTCCATTGTTCCTGTTTTTTTCTCTTCCCTAGCCTCCAAAAAACAGTGAATCCACTGTACGAGTAGAGCGCCTGAAAAACCTGCATCATCGTACTCGTGCAGATTCATTATAATGGATGACTACTCTGTTAATGTGGGTGATTTTGCCAGCAAACCTATGAATGATCTTGATGATGGATTTTTCTATGGAACTGCTACAGCTTCCCAACATCCTCAAGAAGGACAACAGCTTGTACCATACAGTACTGTCAAACTTATTTTCTTTCTTTGAATGTCTTAGCTCTTACTTGACAATTGCTCTTTTATGGCAGTCCTCTTTGTATCATATCTGCAATCCTATCCTATCTTTGCTTATATTTGATTCAAGTATTTATGAGTATTTATTTATAAATTATACTGTAATTAAACCATTTAGTAACCTTAAATTAATTCTTTTAACTACCGTGTAACCTGTTTTTGAACTAATACTTAAAACATCTTAATTTGTAAATTCCATAATTATCATGTTTATTTGTAAAAAGTCTTGAGTGTTTAAAACGTTATAATCACGCTTTTAAATCCTGCCGCAATGTTAAAGTATTTTTATTACACATAAAATTTACTAACATTAACTTTGCTCATTGTTTTTACTTTAAATTCTGCTTAAAGTTACGAGGACTAACAATAATATTACAAGCTTTTGATTGTTTATATTTTATGTAAAATATTATATTACGTATTATATTATGTTATGTTTTGTTTTATAACATATATCATATTGAGTAAATCTGGCTCATTTTATCAAGATTTAAGGGGTGGGACTTGAAATATAGTAACAGGTTTTTAAGTGTTTAAATACATTTTATATTTTATATGAAATATATAATTCTACACATATTATTTTGTGTTTTTAATGAGATATATATTTTATTGAGTAAATATGGCTTATTTTATCAAAATTTAAGAGGTGGGAGTTAAGAAACAATAAGAGGTTTTTAAGTGTTTAAATCCATTTTATATTTTATATGAAATATTATAATATTTTACATATATTGTTTTTTTGTTTTATAAGATATATCATATTTTTTAGTAAATATTAAATAAATAAATAGTAAATAGTACATTTTTTAGTAATTCCTTTTTATTAGGAAGACAAACTCAAAAAGATACAACATTTTGACATTATCATTATCAAGTGCAGTTAACCAGTGGAGTGTTTATGAATATACACGATAATGTCTAGTTGTAATCTTTTTGCGTTTGTCTTTCTAATAAATTTTGTATCAAAGTCTAGACTTAAGAATATGGCTTATTTAGTAAATCTTAATCTATTATATTATTGAGTAAATATAGCTTATTTAGTCAAAATTTGGTTGGTCAGACCTTTCTCCAAAATATAGAGTACAAACACTAAATATTTTCGACCTAAATTGCCAACTCTTTTAATTCTTTTAATTCTTAAAAGTTACAGCATAAACACAGAGGTGAGCAAAGACTGTCTTTTAAAACTGTTGTTTGACATATGATATCTTAAAGCATGAAAAAGATTGTTTATGGCACACATCAACCAGCCATAAAAAAAAGAAAGAAAAAAATTTTTCTTTATGCAATTCTTGAACTGTTTTTAAAAATAAATTTATTGTAGTTAGTTGTTTTAAAATGTAGTTATCCTTGGTGTGGTGTATTGATTGTTAGAGTGGTATAAAGCGGTTCTGTAGTAGTTAGTAGAGGAGTATATTTCAAGTGCTTTTAGACAAAGGCTTGGAACCATAGAAAACCATATGTCACACTGGTGTTCTATGAATTATTGATAACCTCATGATCAAACTAAAAGGTCCATTTACATTCATCCTTGCTTGTTTTGACTACATTGGAGGCAGCAACATGTAGGTGATTTCAACACTGTCATTTCGTAAGGGTATCTTCTTCATTAATGCCATAAAACCATCTAGATTTCATTAATTAATCCTATTGTAGGAATAGGAAGCTTTGTTAATTAATTGTGTCTGTTTATTAAGTGAGTTAGTGTAATAGTTAGATGCACATCAATTGATCCATAGTTTGTTATAGAGATACATGTGGAGTCACATAACATAGTTCCACTTTACTATCTCTACAGTCGTCAAAATAAATCTTTTTATATTTTCTAGATCATAACCATTTTATTAACACTTAAAATATCTTAATTATAGTTAACATTTAAACGATTATTTCACCACGACAAGAAGTCCTTGTAAATTCTATAATGAATGCATTATATTGAAACATCGAATTTGAATTATTTTAGAAGATTTACGATAATTGATATTGTTGTCTATTATATTATACCAATGACCACTACAATGCAAAAGACTAATAATTATGATAACTTTTAGTTGAAGGGAGGGATATATATTAATTTCAAATTATTCATTCTTGAATGTACCAGTTTATTATATTGTCTTACCTGGACCACCAGTTCTAATACCCCTCTATATTTCAAATGTTCTTTTTTGAGTTACTAAAACTGTCTGTCTTCTCAAGTTAACTTAAGTACAGTATAGCAAATTTAAATATATAAAATAATATCTTAATACTCTTTAAAACACCAAGTTAGAAAATATTATCTTTAAACTTTAGCTTATAATATAACTGCTTGTAAGTTCCACAGGGTTTTTAATAATAAATAATTAAAAAGTAGATAATCTTGTATGGATAAGCTTGTTATCGATAAACAAAGCAGTTAATATGTTATATTTGAATCTTTTAAATTATCTCCATAAAATCATTATAACTTGTCTTTAACATGTACAAAATTTTTTCTTTCTTGTATAGCTAGTTTCATAATGTGTCCAAGCTAGAAGAGATTGGGATTAAAAATACTCTATTTTATCATTTTATTGAGAAGTACAAATTGTTGTTAGGTTTTAAAAGGTGCACTATTAATCCAATGGTAAATATTATCTTGTAACACTAAGGTGCTAACTAATTTACATTTAGGAAGTTCTTATTTATTCATTTTTATCTTTTGGGGTCAGTAAGATTTTTTGGAAATTTTCTTTGAAAGCTCTGGGGGTGGGGTGGATAAGTAAAAATTTTTTATGTCCTTATTTCTTAACAGACTTTAGGATTTCAAATGTATTAGCCTTGTATTGCTAGTATTTTTATAATTCTAATATTTATTATTAGATTATTATTAGATTATTATTAACTTATTAATAAATTATTGTCACTGAAAGCAGCCCATGGGAAGTGTCGATATAGTTTTGTTTCATATCGTATTGAAATAGATTTAACTTTATAGTAATTGTTTTAAAAAGCTATAGTTATTGTTATGTTTATTATTATTACTGTCGTTGTTGTACGAGTTTGTGAACAGTTTATTATTTGTTTACCTTTATATTGTGAATAATTCTAACTTGTCTTCATAAGCGACCTCAAGATTTCCTAAATCTACGACAACGACATCAACCTGAAGTGTAAATAACTATTTTTTGTGGTTTTGTGCCTTTAAAGACTGTCATCTCTTTGGATGATTTGGCTTTACTGACAATGTTTTGAATGAAATCTTCATGAACAGAATCCCAAAGACCAAGTTTTTATGCTTCAAGTTGACATTGCTATAAATTTTGCTAATATTAATCCCCCTACTGATTAAAAATAAATTGTTTTGTATGACTAGGTTCAGGAATGTCTCTTAGCATGGAGAGGCACATACAACAGACCAATGAGCGACTCATCTGCATCAAAACACACCTGTCCTCACCTCAAGGGTTCCAGACTGCCGCCAGGGAGTTGTTAGAATGGTGTGGAGATGTCAGAGCTTTCCAAAGACCCTTTGAAGGCAACTTGATGGGGTGTTTAACGGTAAGATAATAAATACTACACCCGTTTATGATTACAACTACATTTGCATTATGACGTCATCACCTACATGTACCAGAATCCCTTGCACACTTTCTTTTGCTCAGTGAGCACCAAGTGTCTTGATACTCTCATGTGGAGAAACAAACAGATTAGCAAATAAATTGTAATTAATCTTATAATGATTATTGTTATTATCGTTATTCGTTAATACTTATCCTCATGCGTTTTATAGGTTGTCAGTCAGGTAGCCGCGACGCAAGGATATGACCTTGACCTTGGTAAATATACTTGTTTAGTCAAAATAGAATACCATGGAGGGAATTGAAGGAATGTTTGTGCAGGGGGAGGAGGGAGGGAGTAGAGGTAGGGGGTAGAGGAGGGGGTAGGGGGAGAGGGGTAGGTTTGGTCAGTGCATACACCACTATCACTATAGTTACGGGTCATAAGTCACCTCCATCCAGCCATACAGATACCCTCAGACTGGTAGACCATGACGGCAAGAGGTGTAATATTGTTCTATTTTAAACCTACTAATCAATCAAATAACCAAATAGACCACTAGTAGCTCAGCCAATCAGTGTGCAGTATTTGTGATAGACCATAAGTAGGTATATTTATTGTTATTTATTATTTGAACAGGTTATCGGCTTCTGGCTGTTTGTGCCGCTCACAGAGACAAGTTCACTCCAAAGTCTGCCAGTATGTTATCAGTCTGGTGTGAAGAGTTAGGGAGACTATTATTATTACGGCACCAAAAACAAAGAAATGACAACCCTAAACCAACACCCTACCAGCAATCATCAATGAATAAAGGCATGCCGCCACAGATGAACCCTATGAATAATATGGGCCCAGGGTAAGAATAGATGTAATAATAACAACAGTTGGTGTAATAACTATGACTGTTATAGCCAAGATGTTCGTGCTAGCAATTACTCAAAACTTGGGATCAAAATCTTTAAAAAGCTTAAGAACATATGCAGGGTTAAAAATGATGGCTAGTCATCAGACTAGCCACACTAGAATTTTGGAACTTTTCCAAACAAAACTTGCCTTGCTAGTCATTTTTAACCTTAACGTTAAACCAGGTATGACCAAGCTACGTGTAAAACTGATTTGGCCTGTCATTTTGATGGCAGAAGACGGCAATATTTTTTGCGTTGTAATGACATTGTAACTTCTAGTAAAATGAATACTTTGTTGTTATCTACAGAGCAGACACAGGGACAGTCATATGGCCACAGACCACTCAACAGCAGGCTGCCCTCTCCGTGGTAACAACAGTCTGGGGTGTGACGTCTTCACTGACCAACTCAATGACGCATGATTCTATGTTGCCTGGGATACCAACTACAAACACTGTCAACTCTGTCACCCATCCCTTCCCAACAACCTCGGCGAACCCTACTAAACAGTATGGGGCACAAGGTAAGACTGTGCTTTATTAGTAATAATAGATGAGATATAACTAAAAACATATGGTACAGACTTGTTGAGGTGTGACTTTGACRGGAACTCCTTACTGCATTTGGATAAATAGTATGTGTCCCTTTAATATCATTGGCGCCACTGTAGGCTGTGATTTCCTTTGTATTCATTCATCATCACTGTCTTCATTATTTTTGACATAATTATCATAACCATTATTTTCACGAATCATCATCCCTTACAGTAAACACAGCGCTGGCCATTGTAAAATGATTGGCTGGAATTGGAACTTGTTCAGTCAAATCTTTGCCTTGACAGTCATTTTGACCAGTACTGTTAAAAGAGGTATGACTGTGCTAGAACTTTCTCAAAATGATCTTGGATCTGAGGCTAACATGTGAGAGATGCCACACATTCCATGAGAATAAGTGTGATTTCTGTTGTTGATTTACATGTTAGCCTAAGGCTGTGTTCATAATGTATGGCAGAGGGGGGGGGGGGAGACAGGTGAAAATTTTAATTGTCTAGAATAATTCCCAACACCCCCCTTAAAAGTCATGCAAAAATATACGATCCCCCTAAGCAAGGCTTGTAGCTTCTTCCAAAAATTGTGCATCCCTATTTTTCTGATAAAAATTTGCCCATCCCCCCTTTTTCCTACCAAAATTTTCCACATCCCCTTTCAATTTCACCTGCCCCCCTCTGCCATTCATTATG